TGCAGATCTTTACAGTTTGTTTTGTCAGCAAGTTTTGTGAACCTGCTTGAATGTAAATGAAACGGCTTAAATTACTTAACCTGAAACCAGCAAAATGATGATCTTATGTGATGTAAACGCTACAGATATCAGAATAAACTTTGAGAACGTATGAATTTCATTGAAATTATGAACCGATCTAAGTAATACAACTACTCAAAAACAGGAAGAACAGGACGGTCGTCTCATCCTAGTTTGAAACTCCTCAGCAATGTCCATCTACAACCTCACATTCGGGATTCAATACAGAACCTTTCGTCTTCTTCAAACTCATTTAAAAACTGTTGTTCTTATTATCCTGGTCATGTTATTTTATACGTCTATTTCAAACAATCAAGGGGTGGTCTACTTGCAAGGATTTTTCAAAAATGCTGGAGAAATGTTTGACAATTTTCATTTTTAATAAGTTTTAAAGACGAAAAATCTCTGTCAAAAATATATAAATATACATAGAATTATAGTTGAAAGCGTGAGTCAATTGAAGCTAGACCACCAAGGAAAACCTTGTCGTCCAGTGCTTTCAGGCTTTCACTGCTGGTCTAACATCGATCGGTTCATGATCTCAATCGAAAATTTTAACAGGTATTTGTTTTTCATTAAGTTTGAATACCAGATACTTTTGTCAAGAGTTCATATCGTCCAGACAATGCTTAAGAAATACTATCAGTATTTCTAAAATTCGTTTCTGTGTATTCAGTTTAAACTTGATGGAATAATTCTAAAATTAAATAACCTATTTATCCATTCTTGAATTTCTTTTTTGAAATGAGTATTAAAGAGATATCAATTGATGAATATCAAGAATTTAAACATTGTGAAACAGATCATTTATATCATAATTTTTAAAGCGTGAGTCAACTGAAGCTAGACCACCAAGGAAAACCTGGAAACACTGGACGACCGTTTCGTCCTGTTATGGGACTCCTCAGCAGTGCGCATCCAAGAACGCGAGATTCGAACCCAGGACCTACCAGTCTCGAACCGAAGCCCTCAACCGATAGACCACTGAGCTGTCATCCAACGGTGTTAATGTCTAACTTCAACTGATCCACGAAGTCGAGCAACCATTCACCAATTGTCTTCAGTGAGTTCCTATCTCACAACAGAGGTGGTTTTGAACTCCACTGGTCACTGCTTCTCACTAGAGCTCCTAGATATACTTCTCGAAGTCATTAGTGAGCATGTGATCATATTAATTATCAGAAGGGGTTTTGTCGAGATTTAGTATTTATTATAGTTGAAAGCGTTAGTCAATTGAAGCTAGATCACCATGGAAAACCTGGAAACACTGGACGGGCTTCGGCTCGAGACTGGTAGGTCCTGAGTTCGAATCTCGCGAGAGCGGGTTCTTGGGTGCGCACTGCTGAGGAGTCCCATAATGGGACGAAACGGCCGTCCAGTATTTCCAGGTTTTCCATGGTGGTCTAGCCTCAACTGACTCACGCTTTCAACTATAATAAATACTAGAGCTCCACAAAACCCCTTCTATAATTAATGCATAGAATTCTTAATTTCTCCGCTGAAAAGTTTCCATTATATTAAAACACGGTTATATGAACGAAGAATATTCTTTTCAATAATTTCTCATCAGGTTCTACAATTATAAATTAATAATCCATAAAAGAAGATTGGCCAAATTTAAGACAGAGTACATCAATTTAAGAAACTGTGATATGTGAATCAAGGATTGTTTGTCATATAAAATAAAAAGAAGCTCGAATCGTTAATGTTTTTGGGATGACTAATATGAAGTGTTAACTTGAATCAGTTTATAGGTGAAATCAAATCGTAAAATAAATTATCAGAATATATATAGTTGACATGGGGGTGAGAGATAGAACAATGGGATTGCACATCAGAAATTACGTAATATATAGAATAGTATGAATTAGGTCAGATATAGTAGATAGGGGGTGGATGACGAATAAATTTCTCTAAAAGGTTAGCAGGTGTGATAATAATAATAATAATAAAGATAATAATAAGAAGAATAATGACTGATAAGATGTGTAGATAAACTAAATTTGAGATATAGAAGTGAACATTAATCAAATTAATGTCACCATATTACAAAATTGATCATTAACAAGTTGACCCTGAAGTTGACCAGGGTAAAAGGAGCGGCTGTACATATTTCTTTTGGATGCAGAGCTCTGGCTTTTTGATCCGAATAGCAATTGCCTCAGCCGTCTGCAGGATTCTCTGTCTGACAGAATTAGGTAGACTACTATTAACACGATATATTACTGTGAAGGATTGCTCGATGTCGGCTCTATGTCCCGTCTGAACTAAATGGGCTAAAACAGAGCTGTTAACCGTTCTGACTACACCTTTGCTTAACCACACTGGAAGGTGTTCACGAGCCCGAGTATACAAATTCCTAGAACATCTGCCAATATAACTTGCTCCACAGGAGCAGTTGAATTGATAGATACAGAAAGAAGTGGCTAGTCTAGGCAATTTACCTCTCGACGTCGGCGTGATCATTGGGCGTGTGGAAAACATTAGTTGTATTTTACCTGCATTAAAAGTCCTTTTCTTTAAATATAATATCAAATATCCTGATTTAAATTGTCCTGTCTTACTTCCGTTAGTCAAATTGCATAAAAAAGAAAACAGTTATCGTTTTTTTAGGATTAAAAAAGGAAATCATTTAAAAACTACTAAATTACATAACCATATATTTCAGTAAATGTTACACATTTATTGTAAACCATTTTTGAATAGTTATCTATTCCGTTATACAAGGGAATATGTTCATTTGTATTCATGTGTGCATATATGGGTTAATATACCTTCGTTCTTTTTCTATGTGAAAACGAGAATATATTTCATCTTGAGATTAAAGTAAATATGCATTTTTTTTTCACCGTTAAGAAAAATTCCTAAGAGAAAATTAAAAAAAATACAGATATTTTTAACAAAAGAAGTATTGATTTTATTTTTTCATTATTATTGATTAAAAACTTAGACAACAGATCTACTAATATGATATTAGACAGTTGGTTTTTGACAATACTGGATACTAGTAAATCGTTTTTTTTTATTATCAAGGGAACTAAGGCTGAGTTCATATTATTCAGCTTCATAGTCAGAGATATTACATGAATTGAATGCACTTTATGTCAACATATACCAGATGTTTTCGATTATTGTTTGTAGTATAACTCTATTGACAGGCCAAAACAGTCAGCCTTGTTCTGACTGAGTCTTAAATGATAGTGTTTGGCTAGAAATAAAAAATAGGCAATATGACATAGGCTATTATTAAATGATTTTTGGTTTAGACCAACAATTACTTTTATAGTTTGCATCACGGACCGATCTTAGTTGATCAACTATTGAAAACTAACAGGTATTACGTCTTAGTGACCGACCTTCTGGATCCTTGAGATTCCCATCTTATAAGTGTTTTTCATGCTTCTTTAGACAGCATCGGTGCGACTCCTTGTGTGTGCGAAACACTTCCGACTAGTGTGAAGTAGTATTTACTCATTTCCGCAGCAACTCGACTGCTCATCCCAGTCTCTCATAGTACCAAGACACTCAATATACCTATATTTATTGTTGCTATGGTTGCCAGAAGAAGTATCAGCACCTTAGCTTCTGAAGAATCTTGGCTTTTACCAAGTGGCGTCATAACTCTTTTAAATAAGAATCTTTCAACTCGAATGGTGGAGCTTAAACTGTTTAGATAGTTTTTCCGGATTAGCGTTTTCTAGTAAGGTTATTTTTCACTGGATGAGGTTGTTGATCCCATTCCTAATCCTTCTTCTTTATACGGGCTTGTGACCGGCAGTAACCTCAGAAAGAATACAAGCGGAGTTGAAAATAAAAGGATGAGTTATATTCCAAGAACAAACATGCATTCATGAAAATAAAGACGGTTTAGTTCCTTTCGACCATTTTACTTACTAAAGGCTATACAATCATGTCTGTTATTATTTTATGTATCTATTAGTATCCTTTGGTAATTCAACAATAGAAGCTTCGTCTTGATGTTCAAAAATGATATGTTCAATTGTTTATTTTACAGCGCTCCTATTATTCCACCTTTTCCTTTAGTCTATTACACGTTTTCAGCCCTTCCCTATCTCCATCGCACCATTAAGTGGATATAAATTTTTTCTATACGTTATTTCAATTCCTATTACCATTTGAATAATGCGCAACATTATCTGATAAGTGAATATTCTTTATTAAATTTTGATAACTATGTTGATGATACTAAAATGTTTCATTTCATTATAAGAGACTGTGTGTAAAACAACTATAAATAAAAAAGCGCAGTATTAGTGAATGACGCCGCTGAAAAGAAACTTTTCCCCTTTGAATTGTTATTTTTTAAAATCATGCGATGAATTTTTATTCTTTGATCAATTTTTTCGACACTGACGTAAAGCCTGATTTAAAAATACTACTCCTTGATATTTGAATAATAACAATAATACTGACAATAATCGACTATGCAAAATTATTATCATGAAAAGCTTGGTGAGATAGTTTAGTTTATAGTTTCAGTCATAGACTCCCTATTAACTAGAAAATCAGTGGAAATTAGAATTCAATCATTTTCCATGTTTACCATGTTATGTTTAGTCAACAATGTAATCTATGACCATTCAAAATATCTTTTCGTCGAAACGTAATGTAGAAAAATTGGAAAACCAATCAATATCGAGGTCTACAGGAAAAGCTATCAGTTATATGTAGAGAAATTCGAACAATTTAGTTCTACTTGAAGTTTGTGCTGATGTCGTTCAGAATAACGGTGAAATCTCCATGACCAAACCATTCAGCTCTGAGAACAAAACTATCAAAAAGAAAAACTCTCATTATTCACATTCTGATGTCAAATTAATATATATATATATATATATATATATATATATCAAACTTAATTACTGAAATAGATGTAAACCTTTATTCTTGTTATGCTTTTCTTTCAATGTTCAATTTAGTTATGTGTTTCCTCCGATCAATCGACTACCTGACGCATTTCGTGATGTGCTAGCGAATTTAAAGTATGTTAATCATGTACTTTTTTGTTCTGGCATGAATTTTTTTTATCTTGTTATTTGTTCTTGCTGAAACAATTTTTATTCTATTCTGAATTAATGATTTATTTTGATTTGTATATACTAATCCAAATATTCAATTCATTAAATTTTCAAGAAAGAATTGGGATTCAGATATTCAATTATTACATCTACCAGTGAATACTTTCTATGTATTTGCGTTTAGTATTCAACGGTTTCAATTTTAAAAATCCACTTGTCTAAAATCGGAGTTCAGGTTTAATTACAGGATCAATGTCAACTGAACTCATTTATCAAGCACACGTTAAAGTAGCCGAATATGAGACATACTGCTTTCATGATGGTTGATAATATTATATAAATGAGTTAAGTTAAAATTAAGGGGACACACTTTGAACTTGAAACCTATTAGTTGTGGATTGAGCGTAACAGCTACCAATAATTTTAGAGTCGCAGCTAATTGATCATAATCAGGGTTTATAATTATAGATTACATAAACTAATATTACTTAGTGAATCACAATTTTGTTGACTTGAGATTTTTGATTAATTCTAGTCTCATTAGTGAAATAGTTGATTCAATACAGTACGATTTTCTGTGAAAACGTCACAAACTATATCTGTAAACTAGTTAGTGGTTATCAGAGAATGATTATTACGTTTATGAATAAACAATTAACGTCAAAAGACAGAAGATATTTTCATAAAACTAACGACTCGAATTATTATTATTTACTAGCTGTTAATTGACATAGAGATGAAGTTTCCTTAGTTGAATCACTCTGTGCAGTCAATAATGGCAGTATTTAGACAAGCAGTCACTAACTTCTTAGCTTTTCAATAGCTCAATAATGATCTGAATCATTAAACTTTTACTTAGTGATCTAAGATATCTTGTTCATGGATGATAAATGATTCAATTTCCCATGCAGTAATTGATCCCTACTATAGAGTACTCCCAAATAAAAACAAAAGTACTGTCCAATTCTGCCTAATTTTTACTAATTCGACAATTCATCTCAATATATCATAAAAATTTACCTTCAAAATTCGTATTTTATCACTGCATTAATCGGCGATAAATGATCAGTGCTCTGCTACTTATTCTTTTAACTGTTTTAATGGTACACTTGAAAACTTTTCATTCGAATAATTTTCATTCATACACAATTGTTAATTAGTGTTATCAATATGTATCATTTACTTACTTCATAATGATGGTTAATACTTTCAACAACAAAAATCCAACATTGTGGATTGATTGAAGGTAGACATTAGCACCGTTGGATGCCGGCCTCCTTAGTGGTCTATCGGTTAAGTGCTTGCGCGCGAGACTGGTAGGTCCTGAGTTCAAATCTCGTCAGGCGGGATCGTGGATGCCCACTGCTGAGGAGTCCCACGACAGGACGAAACGGCCGTCCAGTGCTTCCAGGTTTTTCATGGTGGTCTAACTTCAATTGACTCATGATTTCAACTATAAATAAAAAAATCCATTGTTCAAATATAATTCTCAATACTTCATAACTTCGTTTTATTGGCCAGTAGTTTCCAATGTTTTCCACTTTTCTTAAACAAGATTTTATTGTTCATTGAATAAAAAAATGGACAAAATATTTTTCTTTCGGATATTTTACTTATAAAAAGTTTTATTTAGGATTTAATAAAACATTTAGGGATAATTCCTGAAAACAAAAAAAAGGAATTTATGATAATTTATTGATAAATTTCATAGATTTTATTAGTCAACATTTAGAAATGATCTAAACTGATTCATTTATGTTGGTATGCTGACATTATTTTACAAATGCAGTTTTTATATTGATGAAATTTACTAATAGCTAAGAACAAAATTTGAAGCGAGAGGTTGAAATTAGGATTTGTTGACCACTATCTTGTAGTTTTGCTTAGCTGACTAATTTTGGTTGGATAAGCATTGAAAGACAAGGAGAATTAAGTATTTCATTGTAGTATTGGACTTCTCAACAAGGCATTTTCTGAATCCTCATCAAAGCTAAAAATGGAAAACTTCAGGTTGGATGCAAGTTTTCAATGTTTGCAGTTGGTATGCTATGGTTTACATTTTTGAGCTTCAGTTAGCTCTTATTATCTGTGATGTAATTTATACAGTATAATAGGTTTCGTAAATTGTTCATACAAATATTGATAATTATCTGTTCATTTTCCAGTAAAGATCAGTATTCACTATCCATAACTGCAAAACACTAAATATTCATCTTTAAGGTTTAGGAACTTCAACACGCCATAAAAAGGTTTATAAGATTTGCGCTTATACGAAAAACATAATCACAGGAAAAATGATAATTTAAAAATAAAGAGTTAAAGTAAACCGTCGTTTTCGACAACTTCACAAAACTCTACAGTTATAGATTTATTGATAACATTTTTTTGTTACAATATAGAATATAGTATAACTAGATTCATCCCAACATTAATCAAAAATTCCAAACTTTAAATCGATTGAGTCTTTCATACTATAAGCTACTAACAAAACAAAACAATATCATTAGTAATAATGAAAATGGTCATAATCAAAAGGTAAGAAATATTTAAGTCTTAATTAAGATGATAAATTCTAATCAATAGAATCAAATTGTTTGTAAAACAACTTAAGACAACATAGAAACGGTCACATATTAGTTGTTATCATAATAATAATGATATCAATAGTAAGAGTATCATATAGAATAAGAAAAGTAAACGTATAATTGAAGGTAGGAGAAATGTCTTGGGAGGGAGAGGGGGAAACACAACTAGGTCAAGTTTAACAAATGAGGTGTGTGTATCTTTTTTCTATACATCACTTAAATGAGTTTCTTTTAAGTGATATCAACTAATTCGGCTATATAGAGTAAGCATATTCTTGTGCTTTTAGGTAAATTACTAGGAATTTGGTATAAAACTGAAAAGCCACAAATAATATTAACATTATGTCTATAGTCGATTAATTAGGAAAGGATGCCATTGTTGATAGATTTCCAAACCATCCCAGTATTTTTGAATAAATTGAATATTACATCCAGTTTCAATGTTCAATGTATTGGTTCCTGGCACAGCTATTCATCTACATTTTCGTCGAGTTTTTATCACATAAGAATAAAACTGAGTCAAAGACACATTTATATAATAATTCCTTCCGTAAAACACATAAGCTGATGCATATCAGATTAGATGATATAAGGTGACATGCATCCATATTTAGATTTCAGTAAAGAAATGAAGATGATAAAATGCTTGTTTCCAGTCTTAGTAATTAAATATGATCCTTATGTGCTCATTATTCAACCAATCAGAAGTCAACTACTCAAACTTCACACGAGTAACTGTCTTGTAGATATTTCAAATAAAATTGCATCCAGATAAGTACATGCCATTGTTTATTCATAAGTGCGCCTTTAACAAAATAACATAGTCTCATAAAATATCACTTATTATCGTAGGCTCTTATCACTGCTGTCAAGACAGTCTCAAGTTCTATTCACCCCTTGTGAAAGAGATTATTTATCAGGACAGATGAAACATTTCTCTGTTTCTTTTCATGAGTATTTCACCCGACATTTTTCTCAAACACTGTAGATGTGATAAATAAAGGTGTATAAAGTGGTTTTTTGAGTGAGAAGAAATTAATAACTAAGTTGATGCTTCATGTAAAAAACGATTGTCAACCAGAACAATTAATACATGAAAAATTAAGTGACAAAAACCTTTTTATTCAAACCTGTCCATAGAATGTGGACAAAATTATTTCGTCTATTTTAATCCTATGCTCCAAGTTCCTGTTATACTTTTATCCTTGTTAATGTCAAAATATTTTCTAGGAAATAATAAGATTTTTATTTTATATCTTCACTTCTTTGATTATTTCTTGGACACAGTTGAATCTAACAAACCCATCTATCTGTTTGTCTGTTTTTATGTAATATTGTATGTACCCAAAATTATATTTTAACCCATCATTTTGTATGATTATCGTGCATCCGTAAGTGTGCTTTTTCCCTGCTCATCACTATCTTGAGAGATGTCGCTTCATTTATCGATTCAAAATATACGCTTTTGCCTAACTTATTTCAAACAAACAGAATTCTTTTTTGAGGCAGATTTTCAATTTCAACCGAATAACATCTATTAATAATAATAATTAAAAAACCAGATCACGAAACTGTACGTATAATAAGTATATTATGAAAGACATTGAAATATAAAGAATATGATAGAGTTTAAAGAATAATTTACGTTTTCAAGACATTTAATGTATATGAATTAAAATTCAATAATACAGCATAACAGAGTGATATCTACTAATGAGACTAAATTGAAAACTCAAACATGCAAATTAGCGTGAAAGGCAAAAGCACTAGCAAGTAGCTTTGGGTTTCGATCAAATAGACATAATCAGATAGACAACCATATACTGATAATTATCATGTGTGTACTGGTGACTAGCTTTGAGAGGTAATTCGGGGAGTTCTAGTGAGAAGCCTTGATCAATGGAGTTCAGTCGAATCGGATGTCAGGTAGTTACCCACCAAAGACCAAAGAAGATGGTCGCGCAATATCATGGATTGGTTGAATTTAAGCATTAACAGCGTCTTATTCCGGCTTAGTGGTTTAGAGATTAAGTGTTCGTGCACGAGACCGAACTTCTGGGTTCGAGTCCCACGTGAGGAATCATGCATAAGCACTGCTGAGGAGTCCCACAGTGGAATGAAACGGCTGTCTAGTGATTCCAGGTTTTTAATGGTAGTCTAACAATCATCAAGTTCATGATCTCAATAAAAAAATTAAAGTTGGATTGGATAACATAAATTATTTGATAGAAGTATAACAACTTAAAAGTCGTAATGCTCATTGCAATAGGTGAAGGGTTTCAGGCGTAATGTGATATTAGATTATTTCTTCACTTTCTTTGAAGAATTCCAAAATAAGTCGAAATAGTCTTTCAATGTCCTTTTTCATAATCTCATTAG